CGAGCACCAGCAGCGGGACCAGCGTAGCCAGCGCAGTTGACACGCCAGACAGCCTTGCGGCGGCCACAAAGACCAAGCTCACCGAGAGCCTGGACTCGTTTAGCACGATGCCGACGCCGCGCAACACGTTTTTGACGCCGCCGACAGGAATCAGCCTTTCCGACAAGGGCGTGTACCTGGCGGGCGCCACCGGGGCGCCCGCACCGCACCAAGCGGCGGCCTGGGATTCGGAGCAGCACCAGGAGCAGCTGCACAAGCTGATCGAGCAGAGGGGAGTTCCGCGCGACGGCAGCGCCAGCACCGACGCCGAAGGAAGCACGGACACCTCGCGCGGCAGCGATCAGAACCAGCATCAGAAGCGGCAGCCAGCGCACCTGGCATCGTACGACGACACGTACTTTATGCTGAACCAGCCAGCGGCGGCGGGCGACGGGCCGCACTCGCGCTCGGCAGCCGTTGCGATGCTGCGGCGGCTGGCCGGCGTGGACGCGCGCGGGCGGCAGCTGCCGGCGATAGTCAGCATGCCGCTGCCGCTGGCGCCGGCGGTGGACGCGCTGGGCGAGCTGGAGGACGCGCTGCTGGGCATCGTCGCGCGGCGCCAGATCCCAAACCGCGCGCGCGTGTCTTTGGCAGCGAAGGGTGGCGCAGGGTCTTTTCCGGCAGCAGCAGGCGCCACCATCGCTGGATCTGCCGCTTCGCCATGCACAGACAAGCCTGCACGTCGCAAGCAGCGCCTATCAACGATGTCCGGCGAGCATGACGGCGGCAGCGGTGGCGCGGACGACAGGCGCAGCATGCGGTCACGCACGTCGGTGATTTCGGGCGAAATTGCGGCCGGCCTTTCGGCGGGAGTGACGCCGTACATTGACCTCAACGGGCACATTGAGCGCCTCACAGCGTGCATTTCGCGGCTGCAGCCGGCGCCGGCGGAGGGCAGCAGCCTCAGATCGGCGAGCAAGGCGCCGTCGATGGCCAGCCTGCAGCACGCACCTGCCCACGGGCGCCAGGGCTCGGTCAGCAGCGGGGGCTTTGGCGCGCGGTCCGCGGCGGCGGCGTCGACGCAGTGCCTGGTCACCGCGCCGCAGCCATCCGACGCACACCCGCCGCTGCCGCCCTACGACGAGAACGTTGCCCGCCAGTACCTGAACGCCCGCCTGTCGCCAGTCACCGAGAGCCCGGCCACGGCGGCAAGCGGCAGGCCGATCCGCTCGCGGTCGTCGTCGCACCTGTCGGCGGTGTCGGGCACGTCGACCGAGTCGCGGCGGCGCATTGTGGTCGGCGAGGTGCCGACGTCGGCGCAGTACCCGAACCTGTTTGGGGCCTCGCTCTCCGAGATGCCTGCGCCAGGCAGGATGCAGTCGCAGCCCTACCAGTCGCCCATAATGCCCACGCAGAGCTCGGGGAGCGGGTCGATATACAGCCAGGACAGCAGCGACGGCCGCAGCCAGACGGTCCCGGCGATGATGCCCGGATACGAGTCGCCGCGCGCAATGTCGATTGTGTCCAAGCCCCGGTCAAAGGGCAGCGGCTCGCCGTCGCTCACGTCGCCGGCCGTGTCGGTGCGGGACATCACGCCTGCGGGGCGGCTGGCGCTGTGGATGCAGCTGCACACGACGACCGAGGCGCAAAAGCCCACGCTGTGGCGGCGCAAGCAGTGGCACCGGCGGTTCATGGTATTTGCGGGCAACATGCTGTACCTGTTCAAGAGCAGCGCGCCCGCGGCGACGGCGCTGTCGATCATCCGGCTGGCGCCGAACACGATTGTGTGCGTCAACGACTCGTTCCACAACCGCAGCTGGGTGGTCGAGATCACGCAGGCGGCGCCGGCGGCAGGGGACGCGCAGCCCTCGCTGGCGCCCGGGATCGCGCCGTTTGTGCCGCAGTCGTGGTATCTGCAGATGCAGGTGCGCAGCGAAATGATCGTCCTGCTGAAGCAGCTCAAGGTTGTGATTGGCGAGCTGCAGGTGCAGCCGGACATTGAGCGCAAGGAGGAGGAGCGGATGCGCAACCGGCGGCGAAAGCACCGCAGGGACGGGCAGGCAAAGACCGACGTGTGCCCGTGGGAGGTCGAGGAGTTCAGCGACGGCGGCTCGGCGGGCAGCGATGCCGGCGCCAGCTGCGCGGCGCAGGGCGCGGGCGCGCTCTTCCGCATTGCCGACGACGAGCTGTTTTCGTCCGACGACGACAGCGAGCGGTGCGCGCTGGGCAGCGCAGGCGCAAGGCCGGGCCGCGCCGCGGCGGAGGGCGCGCGCGGCGCGCGGCCGGCGCGGCTGCAGATAGCCGACTACACGGGCACGGGCGGCATTGCCGAGTGGGGCGCGCACCGGCTGCAGGTGCCGTACAGCCCGTCGGCGGCGGCGGCCGGGATGCACCCGACAAAGGTGCGGTCGTTCTCGGGGGATCCGTCGGCGGCCACGGGGCGGCGGCCGTCGCTTGCGGACGTGCTCGCGCCGCCGGCGTCGGCGATGCAGGAGACGACGCCGATTGCAAGCTACTCGCCGCAGACGCCGCCGCAGACGATCCGCGCGCAGAACGCAGCCCCAGCAGTGCGCAATAGCATGATGCTGCGGGCGGATGCGTCGGTGCTCATTGACCAGATGTTTGCGTCGGCCAGCCGCGACATGACGCCTGCGTCGGTGCTCGTTGACCCGATGCCTGCGCCCGAGGGCCGCGGCAGCGACGGCCACACCGGCCCGCAGCCGCCGCCCTCGAGCAGCAGATCCAACCTGTTTGTCGTGCGCGAGGAGGACTGAGTTATAAGCTTACTTTATTTTCATTTCGATATCACTCTGTGCTATACAAAGCTTGTTGTCAGGGGGTCCCAGGGGGCTGGGGGGAGTCTCAGCGCTGGGGGGAGTATCAGCGCTGAGGGACAGTCTCAGCGCTGGGGAGAGCCCCAGGGTCGGGAAGAGCCCGGCAGGGTGCTCGCCGCCGACGCAGCGCTCGTAGCGGGCGCTGGCGTCCTGCCAGTGCTGCAGCCAGCGCGCGGCGGCGTCGTTTGCGGCGGGGCTGGCAAACACGGTGGGCACGATGCGCGTGGCCTTGAGCGAGCACACAAAGCGCGCCAGCTCGGCAAACGACGAGTGCTCGGAATACGGCACGGGGAATATCGTGACGGTGCTGGACGATCCGCGCGGTCTGAGGCACTCGGCGCTGAATGCGCTGTCGCCGTGCATGCACGCGGCCTGTGCGAGCAGCTGCGCGGCGCGCGCCGTGTCCGCGTGCAGCAGCAGCTCGGGGTCCAGCGGCTCAGGGCCCCGCGGCTCGGGGCTCCGCGGCGCGTGGTGCGGGCCGCCGTGCGTCCAGCCCGTCGGACTGAACGCAACGACGCTGGCGAACGGCGCGTGCCGCTGCACGGTCTGCAGGTACTCGCCCATGCCGCGCATGCTGATCCTGCCCATCTCGACCACGTGCACCTGGGCCCCCATGTCTGCGTCCAGCATCCCCGCGAGCGCGCGGTCCCCCAGACACTCCAGCATCCGCCGCTTCGCCGGCGAAGCAAAGATGCGCGAGCCCAGGTGCCGCGCAATCTCGACAAACAGCCGCTCCTTGCCGATCGAGTACGAGCCCACGACGAACAGCACGCGCTTGCGCCGAGGCGCTTGCCCTGCGCTTCGCCGGGGGAACCACCGCGTGATCAGCGACGCTGTGCGGGCCGCCGCGTGCGCGCCCTGGGCGCGCCGCACAAAGTTGGGCAGAAACGACGGGTCCCGGTCCACGTTGCCGCAGAACGCGGCGACCACGCGGACGACGTCGCTTTGCACGGGGAACGTGTACATGGGCTGCATGTACGTTGTGTCCAGGTACACGTAGTCGATCGCCGGCGACACACACGGGACCGCGGTGCCGCAGGCAATGTCGCCGGGCCCGACAGGGTCGCCCACATCAACAGCCGCTATGCGCAGCACCCGTGCGACGTGCCCAAAGGTCGCCCGGAAGTCGCCCGTGTGCACGATCCGCACCACGCCCTCGCCCCTCGGCACCTCAAACACGATCACCACGGCGCCCGGGCAATGGTTCGCGTCGATAAGCGTCACATACACGCCGTGCACATTGCACCGCGTGTCCATCGGCAGCGCGTGGACGTACGCAGGGTCCACCCCGATTCGCCGCGTCACGCAGGCGGCCGTGATGCGGCTGCAGTACACGTGGCCCGTGAAGCCCCGGGTCAGCCCGCCGTAGTGGTCCGAGTGGAAGTGCGTCAGAAAGTAGCCCGTGCAAAAGTCGTGCTCCCCGTACTTGAACGCATCCACCGTGAACGACGTAAACGGCATGCGCTTGTGCGGCGGCAGCGGCCTCGCCGCAGCGCTGCGGGGCGGGCCCGCCGGCTGCACACGGAACACCGGGCCGCTCGCCGCATGCTCCGCGGATGCGTCCAGTATTGGGTCATCTATATCAACTGGCGATGGCTCCTCGCTTGTTAGCGAGTGCTTGGCCGTGGGGGGGCTCCGGCCTTGATCATCCGCGCGAAGCTTCGTGGCTGCGGATTTCACGCGCCGCGCCCTTTTCTTCTCTGCAAGCACCGATGCGTCCAAACACCCGTTCACGTGCAGCTCCGCGCGCTCCGTGCTCATCGCGTCGAGCTGTGTCCAACATATCGGACACGTTATACTTGGCATTCAATGTTGTTTGTGTTGGTTTATTTTCTGGAATTAAAGCCTCCAATGGTTTTTTTTTCTCAAAGGCGGGGGGCTCTTTTTGGTTGTGCCAATTGTCTGTGCAGTTTTGGGTTTATTTTTCACCAGTCGACCATCACTTTTTTTCTATTTCCTCTTGTTTGTGCTCATGTCCACACTATATATTTTATTTTAAAGTGTAATCAACAACATGTTGTTTTGCTTGGAATGCTCCCTTGACTCTATCAAAATATATTTGAATAATAAATCCTATATATTCGCTGTAATGGTAACTCAAAAACACACGGCTTGCAGTGCTATTAATGAACTTCATGTACTGTTTATTTGGAGTGCCAGCAGAAATGGGTGATTAGCTCAGAAAATGCTCGCTTAGCTCAGTTGGTCTTAGAGCGACGTGCTAATAAGTGAAAATCACTAGCTACGCGTAGGTCACAGGTTCGATCCCTGTAGTGAGCATCTCTTTTTGCCATTTTTATGGCAACTTTTTTGCTGGTAGTTATTTATTGACTATCGTGTGTAGAGAAAAACAGTAATCTCATGTGTGTCAATTTTAATGTACCACAGCCGTTTCGCTAGACATGCGAATTGACGGCGCGCCAACAGTGACCCAGTCCACGGTGGCAAGCTTTGCGTTTACAGCAAACTTGTATCGGCTGTATCTCCACACACAAGTTGCCGCGGTTATTCCCCAGGCAGTAAAAAGCAGCACTAGCACCACGGCGTATTTGAGCACATAGCTGTCGCCGGCGTCTCTGGGCAGCATGGTTTCGCGGATGAGAAGCAGGGCAAACGTGGCTGTAAGCGATATCCAGCACACTGTTGAGCAGAGCATGACCAGGCACAGAATCTGCTTGTAGCGCTGCATGTCTATTAGCTGCTGCCTCCCCATGTCGCCGCTGGACGTCTCAAACGAGTTTGGCGGAGATTCGGGGTGTGGTACATATTCGGGTGATAGGTCGATAGAGTAACATAGCGTGCTGGTTATCAGTGCCCCGTGGTGCTCGACTTTGTAGCTTGGCTTTTTGTCTGTGCTTGATTTACGTGTATATTCGAGTGGGTACAGTGTAAGAGCATCCATTTTGAGCACAATATAATTTAGTAGGAGAAAATAAACAGATGAGCGGTAACAAAAACATATTTCCCAAATATGGAAGCTGAGTTGGCTTTTAAACCAAACACATTTGACAGACGCCATAAAGTTAAAGTATGAATGAATGGAATAACTTGTTTTCCCCCGATCATCGGTAAGAAATTGTCTGCGCAGACTTTCCATTCATCCAAGCAGAATGTTTCATTGGTTTTATTGAAATGAATAAAGTTTAAAAAAGTATGGCCGTTGTGTCTTTTGGTCGATTCTGCTCTGCACGTTGTTTGGTTGACATAAAATACAACCGCCAATAATTAAATACAGTCATTGTGTTTGGCAGTGGTTCATGCCAAACCGCTACAATACGACGGTTTTTTTTTTGCGCTTGATCCAGCAATTTTTTAACAGAAAAATACAGCAATTGTCCAAATGCAAAGAGCGAGCGCCACCATCGATATGGTGGAGAGATGACGCCAATAAGCGACACCTTACAAAGCACGATGCACAGGGTCGGCTCTGTTCCTGGCACGGTCACCCGCGCCTCACATGGATAAAGAAAAAAATTGGCCGCGTGTGATTTGCCTGTTGTCAAGTTGTCCCTGGCCAGCAATGTATGCGGACAGAATAGGTATGCACTGCGAAAATCCATTTCGCAAAGTTCTTTCCATCTTCGATCAGGAAGAAAAGCAAACAGCAATTGTCTTTTTCCATCTTTTGCCATCTTTCTCCCTCTTCCTTTCCTTTTTCTTTGCAAAACAAACGTGCCTCATTAATCAATTTTTCTCCCCGCTATCATGGGCTTGCCAGCGCTCGGTCTTCCGGCGCACAGGGGCAGTCGCGATAAAAGTCGTGATAAAAGTCGCGATAAAAAGACCGAGGCAGTAACACAGGTGACGTTTGATGCGGAGCTTTTGTCGGCGGCCAAGACTCGAGTGCTTCGGCAGACGCTGCGCAATCGCCTGGTATGGACAGGGGCCGAGCTCGTGCTGTTGCTCGTGCTGCTAGCGCTGCTGATTGTCCATAGCTTCCGGCTGCACCACAAGGGCCACAACACGTACGCGCGATGGTCGTCGAGCTGGGTGATGATTCTGCTGTCCGTGCTGGTCGTCTTGGCAGCTCTGGTTTTGTTTGTTACGTTCTACCACTTTCGCACGCGGCTGTCGTGGATCAGAGACCCCCGAACCACTGACGATGCACTGGCCAACCCGCAAGCGCACCCTCTGGGGAATTCACGCCAGGGCGCCTTTCGCATTCTTCGCCGGGACCGCGCAAGTGGGTTCAATCTGCCGCCCGCGCAGCAGCGGCAACAACAGCCATGGCTAAACACGGCGGGCAGAAACTCGCGCGCGTGGCGGGAAATGCGCGCCCGCCAGCGCGAGTCCAGCCCGTCGAGCCCGTCGAGCATCGGTACACCTAGTCTGCGGCAGCTGAATTTCGCTGGCGAGGCTCCCCCGCGCCGTCCGCCGCCATCTGGCAGGCGTCGACAGACCGCCGATAATGTGCTCGACTAAACACCGCCCTGCATTTCCCATATGTTCTTGTAAAATACAATGTGCCGGTGGCGTCACTTGACGTTATCTTTTTTTTGTTGCTTTTCTTTTCTTTGCTTTACTTTTCTTTATACAGATACCATATTTTGAACATGAGTCATTCTGGCCGCCCAGACAACAGCAGTCACAGCAGCCGCAGCAATTCCAACGGCGGAAGCGAGTGCCTGCACACGCGCGGGTCGCATGCCATACCAGCAACATCACATTATCATCCCAGGAAGGGCGAGCAGCATTCGCCCGAGCACTCGCCAGACGAGGGCGAGCCGGCTCAGACCTGGACTGCGGCGGAGCTGCTCGAGGTCCGAGCGCGGGAGCGCACGTTTGACGGTGCGTACTGGCGCACGTCCGTGGGGCTGTTTGGCGCATCGCTGGTCATTCTGCGCATATTCGGGCTGGCGTTCTTTCCAGTTGGCCTGGTGTTTCTGGCGCTTGGGTTGGGCTTTTTGGGGATTGGGCTGGTGCGCCGGCGGCAGCTGCTCAGCAAAGACACGCATGCGCAGAGCCCGACCTTTGTTACTAGCGGTGGTACCGTTGTTTTGTCGTCGGCGATGTGCATCACCGCGTATACAGTTTTGCTTGTGCTGCTGCTCAGAATCTGAAATTGTCGAATATCTTCAGCAGCCAATAAGCGGCCAAGCCTGGCCCCCAGGCTTCTCAGCAGAAGTTCAGGCTGCTTTTTTTTTTTATATCGTAGCGTGGCTGGGGGTAAGCGTGCAGCACGCCAAGATAGCGACTTTAAAAAGTGGGGAGGTCGTGTATTTTTCCTTTCTCTCTTCTGGCCAAAACACTTTTATTGTTATTATTTGCACATTTGCCTTTCAACATGTATCCTCCACCGCAACATGGGTATTCCGATGATATTGTCGAGCGAGCTCGGCAGATGAGCATAAAGACAACGAAGCGCCAGGGAATTATTTATGGTGGCATCGAAGTCGCGTTCACCGTGCTTATGGCAGCTCTGCTGGGCGTCTACATTAAGCGCGCACAGGACAACAGGGATTCGAACGGCAACTGGTACACATGGTACATCTGGCTGCTTGTGGCGCTGCTGGTGTTGAACGCCCTGTGCGCAGCCTACACCATCTGGCGCACCGTCAGCAGGCTCCGCTGGCTCAAAGACCCAAACACGCCACGGGAGCTCATCATGGCTGGCTTCAACCCCGATGGGGCTGCATACGGGTACGGCGGTGCAACCGTTATTGTGCAGCAGCCCAACCAGGGCTACTACCAGCCGCCGCCGCCCACATACGCGCCCGACGGCAACAACCAGAACGCGTACAACAACCAGAACATGCACAACAACCCGTACCCGCCGCAGGACCACAGTTATCTGTATGGCTCAGGCAAGCAATGAAACCGTGCTTTTTTCCTTGATTTTTTTTTCTATTTTCTTCTGGCCTGCATGTCAAGCAACAGGCGTCAATAATATTCCAAAGTGTATATTCTTGAGTATCCGAAAACAATGTTTCCTTGTTGATCACTCGATCAGCTCTCTTCCTTCAAATAGCGTTTAGTGGGTTGGTGGACTCCGCTTGGTATGAATTAATTCTACATAAAGTCTTGCTTGCACTGTGTCTTTCCAGTCAATGGCGCCAACAGCATGTAATTTTTTAAAATTATTTCAAAGAATTTCTTCTGAAAGATGGCCGCTACGAAAACGCTTTAAAAGATGTTCATTACAAAAGCGCTTTGGAAGATGACCGCAGAAAAATAGCTATGGAAGATGGCTGCTACGAGAATGCTTTAAAAGATGTCCGCTACAAAAGCGCAGGCAAGACTGCGCGGGTGGGTTAAAAGTCTTGCTTTGTCTTGCAATTTATGTTGCAGTCACCTTGCTTTGCCTGCTGTGGGCACGGAATTGCCCAGCCCAAGTGTCTGTGGAAGCTAAAGAAGCAGCTCGTCCGGGCCATTTCTACTCATTGTTGCAATGTACTTGCCGGGTCACATCCTGCAGCACTTTGAAGTCGGCAGTTGGTCGCCAACAAAAAAAACCACATCATGAAATTGGCAGAGACGAGAATCTCTCCAAGCAGCAACCATTGAAAGGGTTAAAGTCTGCTTGGTCGCTTCAATGGTGTGGGTTGGTTTTTTAAACACAAGACTTTGTCCCCCGGGGGTGTGCTTGCTGGGTTGGCAACCCCTTTGAGGATTTTCGGCTGAAAGCAGCGATCGCCAATTCGTTCGTTTCAGCGCGAGCTAGAAAATACAATATTTCGTTCTTGCAGGAAGAGCTTGCATCTGCATGCTTTTGGTGCGCTATACGACGAGATCTTTCCTTCAAGTGGAGCCGAAACGATGGACCCTTTAAAAAGCAGAGCATATCTTCGTATGGAGCTTCTTTTTCCTTCCCCCTTTCTTGTTCTTTTGTTCTGCGCTTTACCGCTTCCCTTTTTCGAGACTTTAAAGCTGTTTTATTTTATTTTGTGTCCTTCCACTAATTTGTCCATAAAGATATTTCAAAGCTGGGCTAAGGCTTCCTCAATATTTCCCTTATTAAAATAGCCAGCACAGCACCAAGCTTGCACGTCCTTCCCTCTTGCTCTTTTGTTCTTTTGTTCTTTTTCACAAGTTGTTTTTTCTTCTATATTTTCCAATACGCTTCTAGTACATAATAGCTACACGTTCAAGTTTGCTGTGCACGCCTTCGTACATAGTTTGGTCTTGATAACGCAGTAGCCCTGTATTGCTCTCAGCTGCAACCCTTACACTATACGACCGCATTATAACAGTCTGCCCGTGGTTGTGCTCGATAGCCATGCCTCTATATTCTGACAAAGGTAACGTACCAACTTGCCGCAAGAACGTTCTGCCTTTTGACC